TATCAGTTAGGGTGCTTTTGCCTGCAAGTAAAGGGAACTTGGCTTAAATGGCTTAAACAATAAGGAGCATTTATTATCCTACAATAAAAGAAATCCAGAGGCAGGGTGTTTGCACAGTTGATGAATTCAGCAAATCAGTGACATCAAAGATCCAAGTTCTTTCCATGTTGCCATCTTTAGCTAGTCAGCACTGTCCTCCCTCGTGGCGTCTACAACTTCAGACACTGTGGTCTCCTCCACTTATCTTGGCTAACAGTCAACTGAGTTTCAGGCAGCATTCTAAGCACTTTGGATGCATCCGTATTTTAATCCACCCAATAATCCTGTGAGCTAAGAACTCTTATTTTATAGATAGATACATCAAAACCCAGAGAGATTAAGCCACACAATTAGGAAATGGTAGGGCTGGATTTGAACCCAGGCAGCTGGTCTGTAGAGTTATAATGATGTCCAAAGACTGGAAAAGATTGGTAAAAAAGGATGCATGTCAGTGCCAAAGCCAGGATTCCAAGCGAGGGTCTTCAGCATTTTCCCCCTTTATTTCCTTCAGGGTATGTTTCCAATGCTCTCTGGCAGGAATGTGATTTGGCAAAGCTCTGGAGCCCAGACTTATTCTGATATCTATTATGTTCAAATCAGACCTTGAACCAGAGCCCTCCAGAGAGATCTGCTTCCAACAACCAACCTTCCTTTGGAGAAATTTTGACTTGGATGGTTGGGGATGGGCAACTAAAACCATTAGGAAGAGAACCATATTTTCTTTTTCTTTTTTTTAAGATTTATTTATTTATGCATACAAGAACTGGGGTGTAAGTCAGAGGTATGGGGGGGGGGGTGAAAGGATTCACCAGAGAGAGTGGGGAGCAGAACAGGCATATACACTGAAATACACTGATGAGGGAGCAGCAGGCAAGGCAGGAGAGGTCTGCTGAGCCGTGTGGGTAGCTTCCTGGCCAGTTGGGTATCGAACTCGTGCTGGCAATAGCTTGATGGCGCTGAGACTTCAACCCCTGTGCCACCAGGGAGGCCCAAGAACCATATTTTTTCTGAGGAAATGAATTCAGCACTGGGCTTGGCTGTCCAGCTGTACTGTACATTGCCAAGGGTGGAGAGGCCTTGTTCCTTTTCCCAGAAAGTTGTTTCTGATGCTCAGAATGGGGAGCTGAACTGACTTATTGAGAACTCATTTGCATTTGGGAAATGATTGGCAGTTCTAGGCAGACCAATAACTCATTTGTTACCTGGCTCAATGAACTTGGGATGGAAAAAAAAAAATCACCCTTTTTGTTTCCTTAATTAACATTTTTTTAAACAAAAATTTGGAAGGGAGCTCTCAAATCCTGATTCTAGAATGGTAGAGGGTCTCTTCTGGGAAAAAGGAGCTCCCTGCTTTATGCTTCCAAGCAGCATTAATTTCTTTGCTGCAAATGTAAAACTTAGGCAACAGAAATAAAATGGTATTTCCCATGATTGGCGAGATACATGACAACAGAAACTCTAAAATTGTCCTTGTAGAAAAGAATTTCCCTATCATTAGCATCATTTTTATTTTTCCTTCCATGAACTGAAAGTTTTTTTTCCCTTCCTTCTTTCTGTTCTTTGGTGAAAGTTTCCCAGCTCTAAGCCCTGCCCTGGGGATATAAAGGGATGGCTGTCTTACTGCACTGGATATCCTGCAGGGGCTGGGGAAGAAGGGACAGAGATCAAGGCTGAAGGAGGGCTAGGACAAGGAAATCTCCCCCAGCTTGGGATTGCTTCGTCATGTTCGGCTCACTAAGTCACTCTGTGTCAGGATTAGCTAGCTGGGAGGCAGCCAGGCCCAGGACCAAGGGAGTCCCCACTGATCACAGCAGTGCTGAGCTCCTTGTCTGAGTCAGGAGACCCTGGGTAGGCAGGGACCCAAGGCAGAGGCCTGGAAGTGCCACCAACCAACACAGAAAGGATCTCATTTGTTTATTTATTGATTGGCTGTTAATTTGGTTATTATTCCTCTCACTGGGGATTTGGTCTAGAAGCCCCAAGAGGCAGGAACCTTAACCATTGTAGTAACTCAGTCTGGTGCACAATAGGCCCTAAATAAATACTCATGGAATGAGTAGTGGTAGGAATCTGCTGTCTTCGTTTGTTTATCCTGGTCTGTGGCCCCTCCTGGAAGGTCAGCTCCACCTGAAAAATATTGGTCTTGTTTACTTTTGCAGTCCCAGCACCTCACCCACCTCCATGCTCAGCACATAGTAGGTGCTTGTAGCAGACAATTCCCTGTGGACCACAGAAAGGACCCCCACCTTTCTGGCAGCCATGTCCCAGGAGATAGAGCACCGCTTTTCCAGGTTGATGGTGACAGTTCTTGCTCTTGGTCAGGGAGACTATTACAGAGCCTGTGAGCATGCCTACTGGGGGCTTGGGAAAAGTCTCTCTTTGATAAAAAAGAGGCAGATGGGAGAGCCCGCTTTGTCCTTTTCCTTTCTTTTCTGCTTTGCGGTTGTTGTATTAGCAGGTAATGTGGCCAGGAAGCTGCCATTTACAAATACCGAGGCCCCAAACCTTGGGAGGAAAACCATCGTGATGAGGACGACAGGGTCCAACCAAGTTGCTTATTGGTCCCTGATGGCATCACCAGAGTCCTGAACCAACCAGTGTCTGGATGCCTTGTTCAGTAACCAGTAGCCCATTTTTCTATTCCTGGCAATCAAATGCATCCAAATGAAGTCAGCACTCAATCCCAGTTGAAGAAAAAAGCCTTCACTTACTGAGCACTTGCTATCTGCTCCAGGCGTCTTCCAGGTGTTAACCTCAGGAATGTCTGCAAATCCTATGTGAGGTAGGCAGTTATTACCCTTAGTTTACAGATGAGGAAAACCAGGTCCAGAGAGTTAAGTGGTTTATTAAAAGTTGTATCATCTTTCATTGAGGATGAGATGGAGGGGGAGAAATAGCCTCAAAGAATGTGAGGGAGTGACAGAATGTAGAAGAGGTGGGGGTGGGTTCTGTCCACAAATCTGGGGACTTTTGGATGGCCTTGTTGGTAATGTCAGCCCATTCTTGGGTGAAGCATGGGATTTGTGTGTGTGGGTTGGGTTGGGGGTGGGGTGGGGAGAGAATTCTGAAGTTGAAGCTAATTTTCCCTGGTCATGGGCTGAGAAGGGACTAATATTCAATGAACACCTATTATGTGCCAGTTATCTGTGTCAAGTAGTTTACATCAGTGATTCTCAACTGGCAGCTGTTCTGCCCCTGAGGGACAGGTGGCCACGTCTGGAGGCATGTTTGGATGTCACAGTTGGGAAGGGAGCGCTACTGGTCTCGTGTATGCTAAAGGTCCTACGTGTGGGATGATCTCCTACATGAATTATCTGACCCCAAATGTCAAGAAAATCTGCTTGACATACAATTTTCTTTTACAAAAATTCCCATTATACTGAGTGGCAACTATGGCTCAGTGACGTGAATTGTCTCGGTCAAGGTCATCCAGACAGTTCAGCTGGGTTAGGGAAGACATGCAAGCCCGTTTCCTCCCACAGACATGCTGCCCCTCCTATCTCTACTCTGCTCTCCCCTTGTGATACATTTAAAGAGGAGGCAAATGAGGCTCAGAGAGGTGTTGTGACTAGTCTAAGGTCACACGGCTGAGCTACCTCAGGAACTGTTACTGACAACCACAGGAACCTGTCATCTTTTGGACACAAATAGCTGCACTACTGAAACCTGGCAGGCTCACATACCCCACTCTTTTCTCTCTGCCCAGGGGAACCTCACTCACCTCAGGCCAAATGCCACCCTGCCCATGATCCCCAAGGAACAGAGCTCCAAGAATGCAGAATCCACTTCCCTGTGTATTTAAACACTGGCAGTGTTTACCCAGAGGTCACCAACCTGGGTCCTGGCAACAGGTAACAGAAAAATAAGCAATAATGTTCCAGCCTAAAGGACGACTACAGTCTAGAGGGTAATATTGTACGAACCAGCCAATCCACTCAACAACGAAGACCTTCCTGGGTGCCCAGCTCTGTTCCAAGTATTTCCTGTGGATTAACACATAACCGTGTGCAGGACTCCAAGAACTAGGGACCATCATTATTCCCACTGTACTGATGAGAGCTCAGAGGCTCTTGAGGCAAGGAGCGCAGTCCAGGGCCACCCAGCCAGCAAGTGAGGGAGCTGGGATTTGAACCCTGGGCAGCTGACCCCGAAGTCTTAAACCTCCAGGTGTTGCCCTACCTTCCTCTGAGGGCGATGAGGACATTTGTTAAGCAGTTAACTGACTATCAAGGTCACAGAGAGCAGCCTGGACCGAGAAGCTGGGGTTCCCCAAGGCCTTATCCTCAGTGGCGGGTGGCTGCCGGAGGGGTGCTGGCAGAGCAGCAGGCACCTGGTTAGAATCTGCAGGGCGGATAATAAGAGACAGACAGACAGACACGGACAGAGAGCCGCGCGCGTCTTCCAAGGTCGTGGCAGCGCCCGAGGGCACCTAAAGGTTGGGCGCCCCAGAGGCGGCACAGCCCGGGACAGGGGCCGCCCCTCTGCCTCGGGGGCCGGCGGGGGCGCGCGAGGCCGGGCGGGCCGGGTCCCGAGCGGCTTCGCCACGAGCCTCCCCGCCTGGTGTTTACTCGGCGGGGCCGGGCCGCGCGCGTGTGCCCGGCGCGGCGGGAGTCGCGCGTGGGGCGCGGGGGGCGCAGCCGCGGGGGGCGGGCGCCGGGCGGGTGCTCCGGCCCTCCGGGCGCGCCGAGCCCCCTCCCGAGGCTCCCGCCGGAGCGCCCGGCCGCGCAGAGCCTCCGACGCCGCCTCCAGCGCGGCGGCGCCTCTCCCGGGGCCCCGAGCGCGCGCCGAGCGCCTCTGCGGCCGGGGCGCGGCGCGGCACTTGGCAGACGCTCCCTTGGCGCGGGGCGACGGGGGGCGGCGGCGGGGGGGGGGGCGCCGTCTGGGAGCCCCGAGGGCCGCCCCGCCCGCCCCTCGTCCAGCCCCCGCGCGCTGCCTCCGCCCCCGGCGGGACGCCCGCCCCCAGGCCCGCCCGCCCGCGCGCCCGGGTCCCCTGGCTGAGCGCGGCCGCCCGCGCGCCCGTCCGGGATGGGGAGCCTGGACGCCTGAGCCGCGCTCGGCGCGAGCTCCGCGCGGGGAAGGAGCCGGCGCGCGCGGCCCGTGGCGATGGAGGCACCCGGCGGCGGCGGCCGCGAGCCCGGCGGCGGCGGGGCGGGGGACAGCGCGCCCCCGGACCCCTGCGCGCCCGGCGCCGCGGCGCCCAGCTCCGGCCCCGGCCCCGGCCCGTGCGCGGCCGCCCGGGACTCGGAGCGCCAGCTGCGCCTCCGCCTCTGCGTCCTCAACGAGATCCTGGGCACCGAGCGGGACTACGTGGGCACCTTGCGCTTCCTGCAGTCGGTGAGTGTCCGGAGCCCGGCCGCGTCCTCGTCCCCGCGGCGGGGCGCAGGGGCCTCCGCGCGCGGCGCACCCCAACCTGTGGCCGCAGCCGCCGGGGTCGCGGGAGTCGCCCGAGGGGTGCTCCGCGGGGCGCGCGGGCGCGGGGGGGACCCGGGCTCCCCCGGAGCCGTGCGGCCGCCTTCCCGGCCGGCCCGAGGGCCAGCGCGGACCCCGTGTCCCCCCGGCGCGGCGCTGCCCCGGCGCGCTGCCCTTTTGTCTCCCCCGCCGTCCCGGCCTTTCGGATAGTTTTAAAATTAGTTACATCCGCGAGCAGGAGCGCTGGTTCCCGGGGAGGCGCCGCCGTGCTCGCCTGGGGTGCGCTCTGGGAACCCCGCGCCCGGCGCCCCAACACGCCGGCAGGAGTAGGAGAAACCCCAGAGCCGGAGGAAGGCAAAGGGGGACAGACCCCGGGGTGGAGCCTCTCCCCCGCGAACATGTTGGTGAAGCTTCAGGAAAATGACTTTTGAATTCATCGCTGCAGGGTCCAGCCGCGCCCCCGCGGGGGTTTCTCCGTGTCAGACCCTGGGGCCCCCCGCGAGCCCCCCTCGTGCCCGGCGCTTGCGTGTGTGGGGAAGGGTTCGCCTTCACGAGTGGCCCATGGATAGGGACGGATTTTTTTCCTTCGTTCTTTTAGAAGGTTGAGTTTTGCTCCAGAGAGGTTGAGTAACTCGCCCAGAATCACACAGCGGGTCAGCGGGGGAGCCTGGCTTCGAACCAGCAGCGCGCGGTGCTCGCGGCCCTTCCCTCGGGGCCGCATTTCTTTCTCCTTTTTTCTGGGAGAGGAAGGAGCCACTTCCCTACTCTCCTGGGAAGTGAGAAAAGCGGGGTGTGTGTATGTAAGCGGCTGGGTGTGCGTGTGCGTGTGAGTGTGCATGTGAGTGTGTGTGTGTGTGTGTGTGTGTGTGTGCAGGGGTGGGACTGGGGCCAAGCTTCGGCTGCAAGTTAGGAGACTCCCGGGGCTTTCATCTCCGTGCCTCCTGCTGGGACCTCATTTACTCCCTTCTTAGCGCTAGGAAGTCTTTTAATCCTGGTTCAGGAAGGGCTGGCGGGGGCGGTGGGGGTTCCTTTAGAGACCCCAGAGGCGGGCTGTGCAGCTCTCAGTCTCTGGGGGATTGAGGAGGACTCTGGCATCCTCTGAGGCCTCTTGGCTTGGGGGTTTGGTGGAGGCTGTGTGAGGTCGGAGCCCCTGTGCCGAGTGCCCTGTGTGTGAGTGTGTGTGTGTGAGTGTGTGTGGGGTGGGGGGCGGGCAGAGAAGGGTGGTCCTGCAAAGGCATTGAAGCCATTTGGCTAAAGGTCCCTGCTAGAAAGACCTTTGAGACCTGCTTGGCGTTTCTTTCCCATCTCTTTCACAGTTTTAAAAAAAGGAATCTGCTCCATTTGAGGCCGGCGGTTTCTGAATTAAAGATGTAGACAGCTCTGGTTTTGTCAAATTCTAGGGAACTCCTCACTTCTCCTTCTGAGCCACTCCCTGCTCATCAGGCTGGAAGGGGAAGGGGAAAGACAAACTAATTTTTGTATTAATGGGAAGGAAAATCTTCTTCTTTCTCCCTTGGCCGTGGATGGTGTGGTTTGAGAACAGGTAGAGACTGTGTTTGCGTTAACTGTGGTTTTAAATTGTCCGTGTGCCGAGCGCGAGGAGGCTGGAATAATGGAAATTGATTGGAATCAGCCATTCTTTTTAGTCAAGAAACAGGAGGGAAAACATTCTGTACTTCCTCATTATCTTTTTGACACTTTTAATTGGCTGAGTTCATAACAAATTTTGTTTTGGTTGACCTCTCGGTTCTGAGATGAGCTGGTTCTGATGCTGACATCTCAGATCAACCTTGCCACCTCTGTCTTGTCCTCTGTGTCTGTCCTGAGTCATCGTACCTGGTTTGGGAGCAGCAGGAGGGATGTCTCTCTCGTTGGGCTCTGTCAGTAGTGGCCCCTAATAACCCAAGGCTGCTGCTTCTTGAAAACCTGGGGCTTAGAGCTTTCGGAACTGCTAATTACTGAGGCTTTCCACAGCAGCGAGGCTGGCAGCCTGCAGGCTGTGATTCTCTGTCTTCCCTCATGGTCCTCCCAGGCTTTATACTTGCTAAGGGCTGTCCCCCTGCCTCCTGGCTGGGAGGAATGCTTGGTAATCCCTCCCTGCTTTTAATTCCATGTGGTGAGGTAGGCCTTGAAGGTTTGCCCTGGCCTCCTTGTGATCCTGATCTGAAGGTCCTGTTGCCGGTAGGAACGAAGACTTTGTGTAGACTTCAGTGCTGTGGGACAGGCCAGAGAACCAGGTTCCTGCCCTCAAGGAGAGGACATTTGAATTGAGGGTGGCAAAAATGGGTGTTTACAAGAATCCAAGTACAAGGTGGGCATGGAGTCAGACTGTTTGGGGTCAAGTCCTTGGGCTGTGTGACCTTAGGCAAGTGGCTTAGCTTCTCTGAGCCTCACTTTCCTCATCTATAAAATGGTTTACGTTATAGGGTTTTTTAAAAAAGGTTAAGTGAGTTATAACAATATCTATAAAGCACTTGGAACAGTGCCTGGCAGGTAGTAAGGTATTTAAATATCAGTATTGTCATTAATTATTACATTATCTGTTAGCTGAATAAGACTGATGATTAGGGTGATAGAATTCCAGCATCCAGTGAGGTGGTCGTGAAGGTCTGCCTGGAGCAAGTACTATCGGAGTCAGCATTGAAAAGACGATGGTCTCTGAATGAATTTCCTTCTGACCCTCCAAACTCCAGCCACAGGAACCAGTGGTTTGGTTTGGTTCCGGACCTGGGGCTCTGTGGTTCCTCCAGAATCGCCCCATCTCTCCTCACTGCCTTCAAGAACTAAATTGTATATCCCCACCGTCCACATCCAAGGGGGACAGATGACCTTGGTGTCTTTGTGTGGGTCTATTTAAGAGTCAAGGACGGCCCTCTACTAGAGATACTGGATCTTGCTTGGGGACAGCACTGAGCTTCCCCGGGATCCTTGGATTTCACCGGCTCACCTGTGTTGATAATGACTTTTATCCTCGGGGCTGACAATTATTCATCCTTTGCACTCCTGAGCACTTGGAATGCATCAGCTCAATTGATCCTTCCAACAGCATCCCTGTGAAGGGGGTGTGTTGTGACCCCCATTGAGAGATAAGAAAACTGAGGCAAAGATAGTTTCATTGAGCTGCCCTGAGTCATGTTGGCAGGCTTGCCAGCCTTCAGGCTGCTGACCCTAGAACTCAGGTCCCTGCCCACTTCAAAACTTTCTCTGGCGTATAAAGTATGGCTTATGCACATACTTTGTTAAGGTGGCAGAACTGGGTTTGGAACCCAGGTCAGCTGCACCGTGCTGCGTTTCCTCTGGCCACTTCCCCTCTAGGGCTCCTGTTGTCTCCTCTGCAGACTGAGCAGACCTGCAGAAGGAGGGGAATGGCAGGCTGCCCAGCCCCTCGTCAGTGCCCCCTGTCTGTTCATGGTTTGAGGGTTGAGCGTGGGGTTCTGGAGCAAGGCTTTTGGTGTTCAAATCTTGACTTTACCCCACACTGACTGTAGACAGCGCTGGTCAGGTCACCAACCTACCCTGCCTGTTTCCCTTTTTGTACAATGGGAATAGTGTCACACGAAGCTCGGATGAACCTGCCGTTCAAGCTCTTTGGACTGTGCCAGGCACGTAGTAGGAGATCAGAATGCAATGCTCTGTGGGTGGACGTGCACCATTGGGAGGCAAATGAGGTTGTCTGTTTGGGGCTCAAAGGTGCCTCCCTTAAGGAGGAGGCACTTCTATTAGGGAGAAGACTGAGTGAGCCTTGGGCCTACCTGCCTCTTGTTGGCTTGATTTGGGGTCCCTGCACATGAAGGCGAGAGCTGGGTGGGTGCCGTTGTGTGCCGTGATGGATGTGCCACTGAGCAGGGCGAGAAAAGATGGGAGGCCCAAGGGAGATGGGCACAGAGACCCCTGAGGGGGGTCATTCAGCAGTCCCAGGAGCTCCCCTTGGGGACAGAGACCTGTTACTTCAGGCACCAGAGGGCTGGAGTCCATGTGGATCAGGGGGTGTGGATCGTGAACTACGGAAGGATTTCTGTGGTTCTGCTTTTTGGTGGTGTAGGAGACGCAAGCTTTACTGCTCATTGGACTCCGCTGCCAAAACAAGAAACTGTGGTTTTGTGTTGTCACTACTGTTTTTTTGGTGTATTTGTATATGTTTTTCAAGATTCTATACTCCTGGTCTCACACTAGGAAGAAAAGTCAGGGGGTGGAGGTGGGGGGGCTGTCATTGAAACAGAATCTCCCACCACTCAGCGACTGGGGGGATTTTCATGAAGTCGTGTTGTCAGAAGTAGGATGCTGAGATGTGTATAACACAGTTACACTTTGGGGAGATCCGCGCTCCCCATATGACACGCGCATGTCTGTGGTGTGTGTGCCATTACAGGAACTGGGGGAAAGGCTGGGAGAAAAAGCCAGCAGGAAGATAAAAAAGGGAAAAAGTATACTACATATCCTTTTTATATAAAATTATGCGCATGTATCTTGAGTGCATTTTTAAGAGAACACTGACAGTTGTATTTTCAGCATAGTTATTAGTTGAATGCGCAGCAAAAGTAATAATAATAATAATAATAAAAATAAAATAATAACTTACTGGAGTGCTATGTATTTTCATTCTGTTTATCAACTCAAAAGCTCCAGGTAGTGTTGGCTTTCTATTTTAGAAATATAACTGAGACCCAGAGAGGCCAAGTCAGTTTCCTAAGATCATACAACCTGATGGAGCTGGGGTTCAAACCCCAGTGGTCTGATTGGAGTCCACTGTATTATTATTATTATTATTTTTAGATTTATTTATTTATTTATACAAGCACTGGGTACAGTCAGAAGTGCGGGAGGGTGAGAGAATTCACCAGAGCCAGAGCAGGGAACAGAACATGCAGACCAACGAGGTACACTGCTGAGGGGAGCAGGGGGCATCAGGAGAGGTCTGTGCGCCA